AAACTGGGGGGGGGGGGGCTGCTGCCACCCCAGAAGAGCCAACGGCAAAGGGTAGCTGATGAAACACCAGCTGCTTTTCCGGTCCGCGCGCGGCGCGTGGGGGCGGCGCGTGCCGCAGCTGGCGGGGGAGGGGGGCGGGCTGTGCGAGGACGCGGCGGCGCTCGACCGTGAGGTGCGATGGGTGAGAGAGTGTGTGTGTGTGTGTGGGGGGGGGTGATGTAGGTTTTGGGGGGGGGGGCGTGCAGGCAATTTGCCGGCTGCTGGCTTGGAGGTGTTCAGGCTGCAAGCCTCGTTGGGTGACCAAGGGGCTGCTTTGGCCGGGTCGGGGGCGCCGCTTCGGACTTGGAGGGCGGCTTGGATCGTTGCGCCCATCGGTGACCTTTGGCGACACCCTAGTCTTCACCGAGCAACGTGGGCGCCGCGCCGCTTGCCGTCTCGAATCTGGCGGCTTTCCCTTTGCCGTTCACATGTTGAGGTTTGGTCTCTCGCCCAAGCCGCGGCCCCGCGGGGGACAAGGCGACTTGCCTCCTTAGCAGGGTGGCTGCAGGCCGGGCCACACTGTGTGTTGCGTTGAACGTGGCGCCGGCGCGCCGCCCCCCGGCGCGCCGCTCGGGGAGGCGCGCCGGCGCCCAGCATCACTCAGGCAGGCGCGTGGGCGCAGAGGGCGGACAGCCGCCAGGCTCAAAGGGCGCTTGCGCCCGCCCGGCATGCGCCGGCGCGCCGCCCCGCGGCGCGCCGGTGCCCCGCATCACTCAGGCAGGCGCGTGGGCGCAGAGGGCGGACAGCCGCCAGGCTCAAAGGGCGCTTGCGCCCGCCCGGCATGCGCCGGCGCGCTGCCCCGCGGCGCGCCGGTGCCCAGCATCACTCAGGCAGGCGCGTGGGCGCAGAGGGCGGACAGCCGCCAGGCTCAAAGGGCGCTTGCGCCCGCCCGGCATGCGCCGGCGCGCCGCCCCGCGGCGCGCCGGTGCCCAGACCGAATGGAAATGTGGCACAAAGGACCAGTTGTTGATTGGGAATTAAGCGGCGCATGCTTTGCTGCTTGACGTACTTGCTTTGCTGCTTGGCGTACAGGTGGCATTGCTGTTGCGGCCCTTTTTTCCTTGTACACCATGATACATCCCATGAGCCTGGATGGCTCCAGGAGCGGGCGACCGCGGGATCGTGTAACAATCCTAATCCTAAAAAAAATCTCGAAACGGCCTGCGTCCCCGCCATGCCAAACGCCTTCCTTGACCCCAAAACGCCAGCTGCTGCTGCTGGCGTCGCAGCTGGAAGTGCAAGGGGTGGTGTGCCCGACCACCGCCTCGCACTACTGCGGCCTGTGGTTTGTCGCCCACGCGTAAGATGTGCTGCGGGGGTACCCCAGGGCAGAGGCGCTCTTCAGCCGCACGCTGCCCCACCTTGGCTGCGATCACGTGCGCCGCGGGGCGTGCGGCGCACCTCACGCGTCTGAGCGGCGGCCGCTTCGTCAGTCTGGTGCTCATCAGCAGGGGTTTGGGGGGAGGTGGGGCGGCGCTGGGGGCCCGATGTTGATGCGCGGGGAGAGCGTTTTGTGGCTTTAGCGCGGCGTCGCAGCACCGGCAGATTGCTGGAAGTGATGCGCGCAGCAGCCGAGTCGATCGATTATGTGTTTGCGGACGCGTGTGTTGCGCGCACGCGCGCGCGCGCGCACACACACACACACACACACACAAACCACAGGCTGAGATGTACACGCTGCACTATGTCAAGACCCTCACGGCCTCTGACGGCACCTGGCAGGTGGGCAGACACACAAGATGTTGCGCCACGCTTGCCTAGGGACGGCGAGCCGGCGGCCCTGGGCAACGTTGCATCGCGGACCCATTTATATATACGGCATGGTTGAATCGCCACTCGGCTTGCTCGCGGCTGTCACGAGCGCCCCTCGCATGGGTACTGAATAGCATTTGATGTGCCGCGCGCGTCGCGGTCACCTGAATTTCACGCTGTACACGCTGTTGGACTGGGTGGTGCAAGTAAAGCTCGTCGATGTGCAAAATGCGCGCGCGCACACACACACACACACACACACACACACACACGCACCTGCACACGCACACACACGCACGCACACGCACACACACGCACACACGTGTCTCAACTGTGTGAGCGATCGCACACCGCGCCACCCTTGACACACACACATAGAGCGCACACGCGCGCGCCAACGCTGACACGCGCAGGTTGCGGCTGAATACCTTGCTTGGTGTCACGTACGGCGCTGGCACGACCCAATCGCTGCTGGTGCGCCTGCCGGTGAGGGCGCCCGCGCCGGCGCCCTTGCGCTCGCGCGGCGCATGCAAGACGGTCCGGCGCGAGCGGGCGCGGGCCGCGCAGCGCGCGGGGAGTGCGTGCTGCTGAGCATTGATCAAGCGCTGCTCCGACGGTGCCCCCCTTTGCGGCGCGCGGCTGCGGCCGCGGGCGCCCAGTGATGATTGGGTGCTTGCATGCTTCAAACACCTGCACTCGTACTGGAGCGCCGTCATGCGGCCGCCGCCTCGCCCGCACCGCGCCCGCGCCCGCACCCGCGCCCGCACCCACCCCTTGCTTCCCCGCCGCCCCGCGCCGCCCCTTGTCATCCCCAAACCTGACACGCATCCAACAAAATTAATGTTGGGTAAACCCAACACGCTGTCTCTTTTGCTGACGAGGCGGCGGCCCTGACGGAAGGTCCCCGCCCTGTGCGTCCGCCACGGCCTCTCCGCCGCCGCCCGCGCTCTGTGGTCGCCTCGCTGTGCGCGCAGCCGAGGCCGGCCTGCCCGGCGCGGCGCTGCGGTGGGCACTGCGCAGCGGGGACGGCGCGCGGGGCGTGACGCTGGTGGCGCCTGTATTGGCCAAGCTGCGGGCCCGAGGCGCGGGTGGTGGCTAGTTGTAGTTGTCTCCCAGCTTCCCAGCTTCCCAGCTTTCCAGTAGCTTCCCTATTCCCGCCTCTGGACCCTGGCCGTGCTGGCCAGGGTCGTGCCGCAATGGCATCCGGTCGGGGTCGTGTTGACGCTCGCATGGCACGGCCCCGCCCGCGGCCACGCCCGGCCCGCTCAGGTGCGCAGCCCACCGCAGGCCCTGGCGCCGTCACAACCCCCTCCTCCCTCCCGACCGCGAGCTAGACGCCCCGACCGCCCCAACCGACGCAGTCCGGCGGCCCCGACGCGATGCCCCTGGACCTTCCGGAGCTCGACGAGCTGGTACCGCTCCTGGACTGCCTACCGCCGCTGGCCGGTTACGACGCGTCTGTGGTGGCAGCAGACGGGGAAGGCGGCGGCGGCGCCTCCACAGGGGACCTGCTGGCGTCGGGCGCGGCGCCCTCGGCCGCTGCGGCCGCAGCCGCGGCGCAGCGGCGGCGGGCGCGGCACCAGCTGGCCGGCGGGCCAACGGTCGCGTATCCGAAGCTGCAGCTGCTGCGCGCCTGCCTGCGGCTGCAGGGCGCGCTGCGGGCGCTCGCGGCCGCGGCCGCGGCGCAGGCCGCGGCGGCGGGCGAGCGGCACAAGCAGCAGCGGCGGCGGCTCGAGCGCGGCGCCGCGCCTGCCTCGTCGACGCTCGCGGGGCGTACCAAGCCGCGCGGACGCCCGTGATGGACCCGCTGGGTCTCCCGCTCGCGCTGCCCCCGCTGCGCCTGCTGCTGCGGCGGCTCGCGGCGCCGCTGCTGGAGAGCGCGCACGCATCGTAAGCTGCTAGTGCGGCTCGCGGTGCAAGACACAGCGGCTGCTGCAGGTGCTGGGGGCGACACTCGCCGCGCGGGACGCGGCGCAGTGCGAGGGGCTCCCCGCCGACGGCGACCGCGGCAGCGAGGGTCACGGATTTGCTGGGGGTCGTTGGGCAGAGGGCGGCGGCGACGGCAGTGGGCAGGGCGGGATCGGGGAGGTGCGGCTGACGTTCGCGCGGGCGCTTGCGCGGGCGCACGTTCGGGCAGCTTCCGTGGAGGCGTGACGGGCGCGGCCCTCGAGAGCGGCGCGCCTCTGGAGCGCTGGGCGGCGTGTTCCGCCTGGCACATAGAACCTGGTATGAGTCATGTCTTGAAATTCTTGCAGGAACCTGTTGTTTGGTTTCTTACACATCAGCCTGCAAGCCTGCCTTCAGCCGGGGTGTGCCATGCTTCTGGTGCACCAGTAGCAAGCTGCTGCTGTAATCCTGAGGAGCACTGATGACGTCATGGGATCATGAGAGGATTACAACACACCAGGTCAGAGAGTCAGGGCGCAAGCCCTGCCCGAACTTCCGGCCCAGCAACCGCCGCCCCCGCGCATGCATCCTGCACAAAAGCGCGCCGGCCTGCGCGCAGCGCGCGATTCTAAGACATGGTAACGGCATTGCTTTCAGATTCGAAGTATCAGTAAGCGATGCACACCAAGAGGTGGGCGTCGAAGCACGGGCGTATGTTAGCTTCCAACCATGAGCCATCTGTACTAACTGTAAATCCAACCTTTGCTAACTCAAAAGCTGCGGCACTGGTAAACCCAATGCATGTCTCGGCTCCGACTACTCCATTCGATCGACTGCCAGACCACCAAATATCGTTTGTGGGAATCACGCCCGCATTCTGCAAGGATAGCAAGATGCTGCCTCCCAGCAGGCTTGTGAAATTCCTGGCTAGGACGGCGCCGCGTGGCGACTCGATTGCAAGGCCGCTAGGGACACCATACTTGGCGGGAAAATCAGCGATCTGGTCGGATGCAGATATTGAAAGAAACGCGTGCACCTGCACAAGCCCGGTCGGCCGGTTGAGGGAGGCGCTGCACAAGGCGTCGGCACCAGACCGGCCACCAAGGTTTCCATTCCTTCCAGTGGTGGATTCGCTGTAAAGCACCACCCGTGAACGCAGGTACAGCGCCGCGGGCACGCCCCCCAGGCTGACGGCGTTGATGTTGGCCAGGTCAGCGGTTTTTGCGTAGACGCTCAAGTCGATGGCAGACACATTGGCCACATTGGCTGCCAGGGCGGTGAGGCTGGTGTTGACCGAGGCGATGGCTGCCGCGCCTGTGGTGACTGCGGCCTTCAGGGACTCCACAGTGGCGTTGGCCAGGGAGACCGCCGCCGCGTCCGCCGCCTGGGCTGCCTTGATGGCGGCCAGGGTGGTGTTGACGGCTGACAGCTCCAGGCCGCAGAAGCACTGCTGCGGCGCAGACTTGAGCGCCGCGATGTCCAGGGCCGCGGTCTGGTTTGCCACCTCCAGCAGGGCCAGCTGCTGGGCGGTGCGCGTGTCAGCGGCGGCAAGGGCGGCGAGATCCTGTGTGATGGTGCCCGGGACAGTGGCGTTGGCCGCGTTTGCTTGCAGCTTTTGCACGGCGGCGGTGAGCACCGCGACAGTTGCTTTGAGCTCGTCCACCTGAGCGCGCAGCGCGGCTGTCTGGTTGCTTCCTTGGACGAAGTTGGCCTGCAGAGAGCTGGCCTGGGCGGCGGCGGCGGTGACCTTGGGCTCAAGCGCTGCCAGGTCACTGGACACTCTGTCAACCTGTGCAGCGGTTGCCGCGCCGCAACCGTAGCGCAGCTTGGTGGGGTCCTGGGGGAGCAGATAGAAGTGTGCCGGTTGATCAAAATGTGAAGCAACGCGTGTGATGATCAGTACAACTTTGCGGTATCTTGATGGTCGAACAGGATCAAGTGGTGCTGGAAGAGCTGTGGTTGGCTTCACCCACTAAAAACCAAGCAAGTCACCACTGTGTCATCGTGTCTGTTTGCTGCCATACCCGCACACAGACACCTGTCTGCGTGCGTGCGTGCGTGCTTGTGTGTGGGTTTTGTGTGCGCACGCGCACACCTTGCTGTCGGCTGTAGCGTTGGCAGGTGCCAACAGCTCGCTGCACAGCTGGTCCATCAGGGCGGTGGGGCCGGCCTTGGAGGTGCACGACTTGATCAAAGCCTTGACGGGCGCACACTGTACGGAGGTGAGTGATCAAAGCAGAG